TATATATAAACATGGCCAAGTACACAACCAGACATGGCTATTTATTTAATTTATCTAATTTATACAGGAATAATTTAACCTGACCCACGTTCAACCTTCTGTGTGCAGTCTGACAGAAAGACCCAGAGTTGGAGTGACTTCGCTGTATGAACCAGTAGGAGCATTGAAAAATACACCACCGCTCTGTTTGACCGGATGAAATTTTTACCAGCACACACTGAAAAAAAATGGGACCACCATATTTGGCGCATTGTTAAGCCCGGTTTCGTCCCTCAAGCTGTAGTTTTGAGTGTAGAGACCCAGTGTGAAGACATTTGTAATTTCAACACATGCACGCACACGCCTACAGACACGCACGTACCTCCCAGTCCAAAACAGATGCTTGCCATTGGGCAATTTTGTCAATGTTTTCCAGCCTCCTCTTCCTCTCGTTGATCTGCTGGGTGACGTTTCGCATCACTGCCAAGGCTGCTGCCACGTATCGATAGTCGCTACAGACACAGACCCAGTGAAAGCATATAATGACTCTCGGGGAATTAAAAGGTCAAGCTAAGCTCTTTAACAACTGGCCACTCTAAAAAATTTTTAAATGTTTTCGTAATGACAGTCGCAGTCTACCTTACTAGGCATGATCTGTACACTGAAGTAATCGAGATAAGCCTACTGGAACAAGGTCCAAGAACAAGTCAAGACACTACTGAATTCTAATTAGCCACTTGGTCTAGCGACTGTAAAAATGACTACATCTGATGATGATTTCTCCCTCTTTTCCTCTGACTGCAATCGATCCAAATATAGTGTGTATGTTTTTGACAGTCCTTGGCAGATTCTCTGCAGTCAAACGCTGTGAATTGGCTGGCAGAGCTGGCACCTGTCCCTATCTGGCTGAGAGCGCCTGGTTTGTGAATGACGTGGAGCTGGCTGCGTTATGCTAAATTTCTTACATGACGTTTCTGTGCATGACTTGCACGTACACGTCTGCATGTCTGAAATGTCATGTACAGTATGAGTTTGGGCATAAGAGAGCCTTTCTTCAAATACCTGCGACGAGAGCTATAAAACTCTGATTCTGCACTCGTGTAGCAAAATGCAAATCTGATACAATCCTAAACTTGAATATGCAAGGAAACAAGATTAATTCGCAATAGATTATTTTCGAAGGACTAAGGCCTTCTAATACAGCGCTGTTATATGTACGATGTGTCATACCTGTGCTCTTGTGCAGTGTATTTGAGAAGCTCAGCCAACTGGAGGGGATATTTGCAGATCTTCTGGACAGGGGTGAGCAAGAAGCCGTCTATGGCAATGTCAATCATTTGCTGAAGGAGTCGACAGGCCTCAAAGAAATGCTGGTACCTGCCATCCCTCATCAACTTGCTCAGCTCCATGCAAGCGTCCAAGTGGTTATTACAGTATTCTGAATATATCCAGAAACCATCTTGCTGTAATAAAGAAGAACAGCAATATCAGACACAAAATAAAATGAATTAAATCTCTCAAGCTTAAACATGCATTCAAGAATATTTTTTCAACATTCCTGATTGACTTAGGTATGTTGAAAATGATGTTAGTCATGTACATTCCTGCGACCTACGAGATTGAAGTGGAATACGATTGCCCAGTACAATGATTTTTCATTCAAACAAGATGATCAAGATTGTCCGGCATTGGCCAAGGTCAAGTTCAGTCATTGTTTGTTTAATTAGGTTCTTAACTCTTCAGCCAAACATCGTTGTTGCTGAAGGTGTCATATAAAAGTGAAAACAGAACATTTATGTATAATTCTCATGCATCAAAGACAACATGAAAATGCACAGTTTTTAAAAAAACAATAATAATAATAGCATGGGCAAGAAAATCTAAACTGGAAAAAAAAATCTTTGTTCTGACATGTCCGAAATACGCTGAAAGAATTCTGTAAAGTGCAGCCTTTAAGGAGGAGGAAGAATAGGACAGGCAGAGCAGAGTGGAATGTGAGCACATGTCCATGTTAAATTGTTTATAGGATTGGTGCATTCTGGTTGTGCATGCTTACGTCTATTAATTTGCGTTTATATTTAAAAACATCTTTGATTGTGCACAATGAACTCACATGTTCTAAAAAGCATGGTCCAATTTCAGAGAGGTGGGGCTCCTCTGTGTTGTACTGTTTCTCCAAGTCTCGAACAAATCCCATCTGGAAGCGATAGATGTCCTCAATGTTTCCAAAGATGACCTTCAGTTGGTCATCATTAAACATGTCCACACGCTTCCTGCACTGGCGAAGGTAACCCTGCAAAAGAAAGGGTTTAGGTTCAATCATGTTTTCAAAGATGAGGAGGTTGGGAGCCTGCAATTGAATGAAAATGGAAATAACAGTAATTTCAAATTATGATTCAAAGATATATCATGCCCAATCCAAGGACTAATATAAAGGTACGTATTTTTCTATTATTAGATACCTATTTAGTTTTCCAACAATGTAGAAGACTTATACTAAAACCATTCAGTGTAGTGTGTACAGTGGACTCCTGTCCATTTTCTCTCTCTCTCTCTCTCTCTCTCTCTCTCTCTCTCTCTCTCTCTCTCTCTCTCTCTCTCTCTCTCTCTCTCTCTATATATATATATATATATA